TGTGGGTAAGAGTAGTTTAATCTCTACTGTTAAAGTTCTATTGCTTTCCCATGTAAAATTTTTCATATGTTTCAAAGATTACTTAAAAATTTTCTTCACTAATGTCGATTGATAAGAATATCATGCTTTGGCCTATGATAAGGAATACAAGATTGGCAACTAGATGTACGATATCCATAAACCATTAGAAATCTTTCTGCAGATGTCCTTAAAACTTTAAAATTCACTCTGTGAACATGTTAACAAAGAGAAATGTCTATATATTTTATTTATTTATTCAGTTGATATGACCTCATTGTCAGGCATATGCTTCTGTATCGCATGCTAGATCACTAGAATGGGATGAACAGATATGGATTTTGCATTCTTTTCTCATTGTTCGTTTATCTGACATTAAGGCTTTTCAGATGCCTCTGTTCTGGAAAAATTGCCACCAGATTCTGCTGAACAACAAGCTCAAATTAGTGCAATCCAGAATGAGGATGGATATAATTGGGGGTAAGATTCTAAATTGCTGAATTTTTTAAGTCATTATGTAGGATGGCCTTCTAATGCTTTATTTGCTCTTTTGCTAAAAAAGTTATAATCCTGTTCTCTGGGGGGTCCCTAAAGGAAGCTATGCAAGTAATGCAAATGGTCCATGCCGTGTGATTGAGTTCAGAAAGATGGTTCAGGTCAGCTGTTTTTCTTTCCAGTTACATGTCTAAAGACTGTAACATCCTCGGCTAGATGAACCATACTTATTAATGGTTTTAGTGATATATGCTGTATCTGATCAACTATGTTTCACTACTCTTTTTTATCTCCTTGGGAAGGGTGTACTTCTATTAACACATTTAATTTTTTCATTCCTGTATGCAGGCTATCAACCATCTAGGTCTTCGTGTTGTGCTGGATGTTGTTTACAACCATTTATATGAAAGTGGGCCGTTCAATAAGGACTCTGTTCTCGATAAGGTCAGGATTTGGCACTGATGTTCATCTGTAACCATCTTTTTTGGAATTTCTAGTACTTGCATTTATTCCTTTCCGTTTAGGGTGTGTTTGAGATGAGGAAAATGGAGAGGGTTGAGAAAGAATAAGGTTATTGCCCTGATGTCAAAATATTAGTTGGAGTACATTTTCCTCCATCAATTTATATTTTGTTGATGACCAGACAGCCTCTATTCTCTCCTGTCTCCTTCCCTCTGCTCTATTTCCTTTTCCCCATAATTATTATCCTAGCCTAACTAGCCAGATAGTTAACTATCCTGAGACAAAGTTCATTTTGTAGGTTGTTCCAGGTTACTATTTGAGAAGGAATGCTGATGGGCTTGTTGAAAACAGCACATGCATGAACAACACTGCTAGTGAACATTATATGGTTGAACGCCTGATTCTCGATGATCTTATTCATTGGGCAGTTAACTACAAGGTGATTACTTATCATCTTACAGTTTAGTAGGACACTCCCTTGATGCTTTCTGAATATAATTTTGTTCTTAAATATATGATGCAACCTCATGCATATGGATAGATATCTCCTATAGTTTCCTTCTTCTTACCTCCAATTACTTTTTCTTTTGAAATAACTTTATTTGCATTTTCATTGTTCATTAAGGCAAAGGCCTATGATTTCCCGTACAATTTGGCATGTACAAGGGCAGACACATATATCAATGTGCACTTACACTTCTGTCTGTGTAATGGAAACTATTTGGTGCCCTATATAAATTCAAGGTAGTTGATCTAATTGTGATGCTTTCAGGTTGACGGTTTCCGGTTTGACCTTATGGGTCATATAATGAAAAGTACAATGGTAAGTAACCCTTCGAATTTTGCCTGTTTGTGGCTTTTGGAATAAACATCAAGATACAGAAGTTCAATTCCCTAATGGTGAGAATCAACCAGAAATGTACCTTATGTTCACATGGCCAGCAAAAGACATAATTTGCTGTCTATAACATAATTCCATGATGCCTTGTGGATTTTTTTAATCATAAGTTAGGAGTTAATGTAAGACATTGCCAGCTTAAGGACTAAAGAAACCTTAGGAGGTGAGTGATTTGGATTTTTAAAAATTTTAAGAAAAAAAGATGCAGGTATATCAATGCAACTCTACAATTAACAACTCTTAGAGTTTTATGCTAGCTACAATACCAGGAGATTAATGGATACATAAATAGATTTGACCACCAATAAATCTCCTAAAGCAATTCCATTTGAGAGTTCCCCATTTTTTTTTTTTTTTCAAATTTTAATGCTTCACTAGTTGATAAAATGCTATCACACATCAACAAGTTTTTTTTCCCTTGAAGGACTTCCTTAACATGTTATTTCCAGCCTGTTTTCCGAAGCCTAAATCGATTATGAAAGTATTACAGTTTTGTCAAAAAATGAATAACTTGGTAAATGACAAGATTGGTAATGCATATTTTACCTCAAGAACAATTTAAATCCCGAGCTACTTAATAGATATCAATTTTTTTTTTTGGTGTCTAATGCAATTTCTTAGAATTGAGTCATTTTTTATTAACATAACTTTTCGTAAGGATGGATTATAAAAATTGTTTCACATAATATTGAATGTAGGCTTAGAGTTCAAATTTTGGTTATCTTATTTTGTTAATTGAATTTTAGCATAGGGTATGACAGGTATGTGTTTGATACTTGTTTTTAACCTAGTGAGGTTGCATGTCATGAAGTGTGTTATCATATAAATTATAACTATAGATAGGATAATTTTTGTCAACTTAAGATTTTGGAATAATTGACTACAGTCCTTAATTATTTTACACAACTGAAAGTTTCGTTTCGAAAAAAATTATATTGTAGCAGTTACGCAACCTTTTTTTACTAAGTATGAACTTTTCAATATTTTTGATGTTCAATTTTACACATATGTTTAACTTTTAGTTTTTTTTATGGTGTTTGTCGACTTGAAGATAGGTTAAAGTTCAATATACTGTTAGCCTGATGCAGGTTGATCTGTTGTCAAGTAAAAAACAACATATTCTGTTTAATTTATTCGGTTCACCTGATAGGTTGACCTAAGGACCATACATGCTCTTTTCTTCATTTTTAATATTTAAAAATATTTTAAAACTTTTCATAATATAACTCTAGAAAAATTTGAACTGAACAGTTTTCGAGCCAAAAAATACTAAATACAGAATTAAACAGATAAAATTAAAACAAGAGTTCTTCAATCCACCCTTTTATTTGACCAGTTTTACGTGTGAACTGCATGTGTCAAGGCTTCATTTTGATTTTTCGATCTTAGCCTCTTCCACCTCAATAAATAAGAGCACAGTAACATATGTTTGTTATGCATTAAAGTCAACTTATTGTCAACAAATATATTATTTTCCTCTTGATTAGTTTACTACCAACTTATGATGATGAATGTGAAAGATATATGCAAATAAAAGATATTTATACATACTATGATCTGAGCATAGATCAAAGCAAATGATGCCCTCCATAGGCTAACAAAGGAACGTGATGGAGTTGATGGTTCAAGCATTTATATGTAAGTTGAAGATGACATTTATATCTTCCAATATCATATTTTGGCACGCATCTTCATTCTCAAAATAATATTCTTTATTTTATGCATATTACCATCGTTCATCTTCATTTAACCATATTGATCTTTTTGTAGATATGGTGAAGGATGGGACTATGGTGAAGTTGCAAAAAATGCACGTGGGGTGAATGCTTCACAGTTCAATCTTTGTGGAACTGGAATTGGGAGGTAATCTTGTGCTATGAATGTTTGATATGTTGTCACAATCATCCTATTGCTTCTTTTCTCATTAAGAAAGGTCCTCATGTTCTTGGAATTTCCATTTTTTCTACAGACATTTAATTAACAGAGACTGCTCTGAAGCTATGGCCTTAATCTCTTTGCGTCTTTACATCCTTTACCTGATTCTGATAAGTGAACCTGGTTTCTAGAATCTTTAGATCGCTAACAAAAAACCTATTTAGTTCTTTGGAATCTTTAGATAAAAATGCATATTCTTTCTAGTATTAGGTTTCCAGGGATGGTTGCCCTGATACTGTGAAAAAAAACGTAGAACACCAGTTGAAGAAACCTAGAGAAAATACGGGTTTTCTTCTTATTATTATTGAATGAAGAGTGTATAATTGGAGAAAAATCCTCCAGTGGAAAAGGAAAAATGAAATCCCTGATTTGGAGAGATTATTTCCAAAAATCTGGGATAAGAACTCTTGATTACCATAATCCCAAAATTTACCAACTTGAATGAAGATTCTACATTTATAAGTGGCTTTACGCACTTTATTTTAATCTCCTGGTTTGTTGACAAAAAAAAAGACGTTTATTAGGTTCTTGAAGTACTAAAGTTAGGTAAAAAAAAATTAAGCAATTCATTTTCACTTTTTTAGGTTATTATTTTTTGTCAAACAACTTACTTTTATACCTTTCTTATATCCACTTAAAATTAACAGTATATAATATGTGAATTATAAAAGTACCAATGATGAATACATATTCTTGTATTAGTTTTTCAATCAAAAGATAACTGTTATATTTTTACAATCAACACTTTATGCAAACACGCAAACTTATTTTTTAAACCAAAAAGCTATTTACTTTAAGTAACTTAAAGCACCTAAATGCTCTAAGTACATTTATTTGAACAATCTCAAATGCTCTTTTCACTTTTATTAACTTTGGTAATTTATTTTAGTTTTAATGATCGTATTCGGGACGCAATTAATGGTGGATCTCCATTTGGTCATCCTCTTGAACAAGGATTTGCTACTGGTCTATATCTGCAGGTATTGACCTTGATATTATATAGTTATAGTTAGCCGAATACTTCTATAATAGCCTAGTTTCAACTTCAACTAAACTTTAGCATAATTTTTCAACGAATGTGGAGCCGATACTATTTTTAATCCTGAAAAAGCTGGGGAATTATATTTCTTGCTGCAGTCTGCTAGGGCTTTTAGAATTTTTTTGCTGATAATCAAACGAGAAAAATTTTAAACTAATTTTGAAGCTAGATTTAAAGATTTTCTGGAATTCTTTGTCAATTTACACCTAGTTCAAGTAGGAGAAAATATAAATAAAAATTGACCTCATATGGAATTTTATATGGAATTGGAATAATCAAATTCCAAATTCTATCAATATTGATCTCATGTGGAATTATATGTGAAATTGGAATGATTTATCCTCTATTTCATCAAAATAGATGGAAATTAGAATGTATTTTTTAATTTCACATGGATTTTTATGAGTTCAATTTTTGTCAATTTGACGAGTAATTTCGTAATCAGTCAAAAAATGAACTCCAAAAAATTTCTGGATTTGTTCTGAACACAGATTTTGTAAAGTTGTATGAATGTGAAAAGTTTTTTTTTTTTTTTATCTGTCAATGGTATAAATATTAGTAATTGTGCCTGAAGACTCTTTGCACTGATCAGCCAGGACTGCTGACTCATGTAGATCACATTTTAGTTATCTGAGTTGATTCCTTAAATTTATTACAATAGTGATACTAGAATCTGAACTAAGAGTTCCCGGCAGCCCTTTTCTTGGAACTGAATAATAATTTGATATGTTATGTTTGGTTGGTCAACTTGTAATTTGGTGACGCCTTCTTCATCCATTCCTGAGAACCAAAAAAAAAAAAGAAAACTACTTTTCCATTATATGATTTTGCAAACTTTTTGATAGAAGGATAAACATTATTAAAGAAAAGAGCAGAGAAAATATAAAATGGGAAGATAAGATAGCCTCCTAACTCCAGAGGGTCAAAACAGCAAAATAAAAAAAAAAAAAGAATCAATACAATGTCTTGCCCGAACTGTAACACAGAAATTGGGAGATCTATAAAGAAACCATGAGCCTTATCCCATAGGGAGGTCAAAAAAGTCATCCTTCCCAGCAGAAGCTGGAAAGGGAAGAAATGGTAATCGAACATTCCAAGATTTTGCTTCAACTGCAATGCCCACAAACGCACAAACAGTGCTCCTCTCCATAAGGTTTAGATCCTTCCTCACCCCCTGCTCATGGAAGATTTGAGCTCATGAAGCACTCTAGCAAAAATGGAGCAACCTGCACCAACCCAAAAGTATCAAACAACCTAAAACACGTTGTGCAAGTCATCAAAGTTAAAGAATGAGATGATCATGAGTTTCCCCTTCCTCGAATACATAACACAAGTATCTTGTGGGAGAGCATGATTAAGCCTACAAATTTGCAACAAGTTGTTAGTGTTAAGTTTGTTGAGAATAACAGTTCAAGCAAAAACCTTAACCTAAGAATGGATTTTCACTTTCCAAATGCACTGGTAAAAGAAATTTTCTGGCAGTTAGGGTGATGGCTAATATAGGAAATAAAAAAAGACATACAAGAGTAGATTTCTGTGGAGTCAGAGATGCATATCTTGCTATTACATTGGTGAGAATAGTGAAAGTTCTCTTAGAAGCTTATCAAGTCTAACATTTCAATCTTCTCCCTATCATTGAGGTTTATGAAAAAATACAAATTCCAGGACATATTCTGCTGAAGATGGTTAATAAAACTAGAATAGGGATGTTGTGACATGAGGAAATGTTATAAAGACGAGGAAAACAATGGGGTAAAGGTAGGGGCTGTGTTGAATTTGGTTAAGTGGAAAAAACCAATATAACAGAATTTGATTTATTAAATCAGTTTGGTTAAAAAGGTTTTTGGGTCAACTGGTTTTGAAGAAAAAGAGAATCAGTTTCTCAGTTTGCTATTTGGTTCCAAATTTCTGGAACCGAACCGATCAAAAAACCAAAAGAAAAATATATATGGTTTATCTTTTAATTATATAGTTTTAATTTTAAAATATTATATATTAATATATACTTTATTGTATTGATTAAATATTATTTATATTTAAGCATATTAATACATTTATCATATTGTATTATAAACTTTTTTTTAAAAATAGCATTCGATTTTTTGTTTCAGTTTTCTTACTAATTTCATCACTTGGATCAATTTTCATGTTCAGTATTTTGATTTTTAGAAACTTCTAATAGGAAAACTACACTGACCAATAGAAAAATATGTGATCCATCTCCCATTCTGAGATGGGTAAAAGGGGATAAACAGATTATGAAGATGAGAAAATGACTTTCCATGGACTTGTGTGAGCAGTGGAATTTTTGGGAATAGAATCCCACTCACTCCTGTAACTACCGTGAATGCTCTTAATCACCTGTGCCACAGAGAAAAAGGTTTTTATGCAAAACAATAAAACTATTTAGTCAATAGAGATAAATTTGTTGAGACCAAATTCTGAATATCAAGCCATCTTTTTTGTGAAGAATACTAAAACCATTTAGCCAATAGAAATAAATTTTTTGAGACCATCCCAATAGCTAAGTTACCTTTCTTGTGGAAGACTAAAGCTATTTAGCCAATGGAGATGAATTTTTTAAGACCAAATTTCAAATACCCAAGCTACCATTGACAAACTTTTCACCTTACCAAATGATCTCTCAACAAATCTCGTCGTATCTCAAACCATAGGAACTTCCTCTAACTCTCTCCAAACTCTCAGTCACCCCTCGCAAGATTGTAAATAAGGAAAGATAATGAATACCATAGAGAAAAACCCGGATTAAGGTGACTCTGCCATCCAATCAGAAGAAGCCACTCTTCTAGCACTCATGCCTTCTAGGATCTCTATTAACAATGCCATCCGAAAACAAAACTATCCTAGGTGTTACCCTTTAACAGAACACCTAAGTAGGTAATCAGCCAAGATAAACAAGTACACACAATAGCCTCTGCCAAAGCCTTGATAATGTTATCCTCCATGTCGATCCTCACAAGACCACTCTTATTTAGGTTTATGTGAAGCCCAAAATACCTAAAATTTGAACAAGGGTGAATGCAGTCTAAACCAACTTCATTGTATGAGAGAAAGATGATATATTATCAGCAAAATAGAGATGAGAGACTTCCACTCTACCTCTCTAACAAGACCCTTAACCAAATCTCCCTCCGACCCCATTGTCAACATGTCATTAAGTGCATCAACACCAAAGCAAAATGAAACGAATAGAGGGGTTCACCCGACCTTACACATTTGAAATACGAAAACCAAAGTTTTGGCTTACCGGTTATAATATTTTATTTTGTACACTTATGGTTCTGTATGTCTTGTTGATATTTTGTTTATCCTTCTTTGCAGCCTAATGATCATGACCAAGATTCGGAAGCTACTCAACAACTTATGCTTGCTGTTGCAAAGGATCACATCCAGGTACATTGCCACATTATATCATAGTTGGTAACATTGAAAAGGTTATTAAAGGTAGATGGTGCACTAGTGAATGGTCCTTCATTTCTTGCCTAGTTAATGTGACTTGACCTTCGTTGTTGCTTTGTTATCCTGTTGAGGGATAAATGTACTGTATCTATCAGAATATTTATAATAAGCAAAGAAAAAGTAAGAATAGAAAATGTTATATGGGAAACTATTTAGTAAACAGTCATACATGAAATACCTTTTATTCTCCAGAGGCAGTACGGTTACAAAGCCAACTTGTAACTAATCTTAAAATTAGCTAAATCACTGGTAATTAGCTGTAGTAGCCAAGATTTGATACTGCTGACTGATAGCCATTTATTTGGTTATCATTAAGGGTCTATGGTGCCTCTGGTCCAGCTTCAGTGGCTTCATGGGCACTGCAGGTGGAGCCTGTGACATATGGGGTGCTGGGCTCAATCCTGAGCGCTTACACACTCCACATTTATGCTAGATGAAATGCAACACCTCTTTTCGCTGGCAATTGGAGTCTTAAGGAGTTGACGTTGAGATTATATATTGTATCTCCACTAAACTGTTGCTCAGCATGTATATAAGATGTACCATATTTACCATTTCAAGGAGTGCATACATTTGCTTTTTGGCTATTATAGATAGTTATTGCCCTATACTAGTCAGTAGATAGATCCATAATTGTCTATATGCATCCTTCCATCATGTTATTATGTGTATACATGGGGTATCTTTTGCCAGTTTTTGTCTTAGATGTTATAACAAATTTGCATAAACATTGATGACTAATAACAAATGTCATGATCATTTTTCTAATATGATGGAAATTGCATTTATTATTGTATACATTATATACTATTCTGAAGATTCATTTTAAATTGAAGCCAAAATCGATTGCTACACCTGAACAATCTAAGTTTACATTTTTCTTTTGTTATAATTATCTGGAGTTATTCAGGTTGGCATGGCTGCAAACTTGAGGGATTTTGTACTTACCAGTCATGAAGGAAAGGAGGTATACATTGGTTCTTGAGAATTTTGCAATTGCATTTTGTTCTATATGAAAACTGTGCTTTCTTATCTGCAAATAGTTTGTTATTTCCTATGTATCCACTTTTTATGCCTGCACAAACATGCACAAGGATGGAGAAAGTGCGCTGCTTGAGTGAATTTGTGTCACAAGTTGTGCATTTGAGATCTGTTTTTGGAATCAGATATGTTAATCAACCATAATTGGGTGGGTTCTACAATCACCTCCTATGTATCTCCTGGAGTTCTGCCCTCTCTTCAAATGGGGCTGAACCAAAAAAAAAAAAAAAAAGAAAAGAACATGCTCTTTGGTCAGTAAGGAGGTTATCTTCCTTTCCTTTCTTCATTCTGATGAGTGTTGATATTTTTTATTGTTCTTTGCTCAGGTGAAAGGATCAGAAGTTTTAACAAATGATGGGACACCCGTCGGATACACTTCATCTCCCATTGAAACTGTCAGTTCATTTGAACTCTTGATTATGTTTCTTAAGATTGTAGGTCAATATTTTTAGTATAATTCTTTAATTTCCAAAAAAAAATCTTGAATATAATTTTGTCATGTTTAGGAATGCATTGCAAGTGTGCTCATGGATGTATCCATAAGATATTTTCTTCTGGTCTTACTGATTTTTGTTGGGTCATGCATAATGATCAAATCTTGCTGAGATCAGTAAGACATTTTCTACCAAGGCCAGATCCCAGCCTTTACAGTGGCCATAAAAACAACCAAAAGGGAAAGTGGAGAGGAAAGAGATGGCAGAAAGTACACACTTTTTAAGTGAACCTTGGGAAACAAGCAGCATAATGAAACAATTATATTAAGTTTCTTCCTCTATAAAAGAAAAATGATTGACTTGAAGTGTTTCAGTCCTCTTTTAGGATGTAGTTTTGGGATTCTGTTAATATATGGGCCCCTTAAGAGAAAATTCAACGATCTCCTGGAGTCTAAAGTACTCAAGAAACTTTTTTGACAAATTTTCTGCAGCCCCCCTCTGAATAATGCAAGTTTTACAAGGAAAGAAAGAGTAGTTAATCCTGGCAGTTACTTCCAGAGTCAACCAACTGCCTTCTGTTTTTCTCTGTAATTTTCTCCTACTAAACACACGTAACATAAATTCCTAAACAATACAAACTACACACTTTTCCTCACTGATTTTTCCTTCTACCATACACACAAGACAACAACAGCAAATACATTAACAACCACTTAAACACAGCCACATAACAGCTACAGAAAACAGCACCTGCGGAGTAGACAGCCACATAAAACAACACTTGCAGATTACATCATTTCTTTTCCTTCTTTGTCTTTCTCCTTTTTTGATATACCTTATCAAAAGGTGTTATTTTGCCACTGATGTTCCTAACATGAAGCAATAATATTAAGTTATAAACTTTAGTGCTAATGAGTTGAGGGAAAGAGGATCATGATCTTCAACAACCATGTTTCTTTGAATTTTTCCATTATAAGAAGTCCTTTTTTTAATTGAAAAAGAAGATATATTAGTAGGGAGAAAGAGAAACAAATAAGGAGGATTAGTTATCCACCTACAAAAGCCAAAAAGGGAGAGAGACTAGCTATTTACAAGAAAGAATAACTGTCGAAGAATTGCTAATGCATGGAGTCCCAATGATGCAAAACAAGAAAATCTTAGAAGTTGATATGTTTTAATATTATGAAATGTTTTTTTAGTTACAATAGTTAGCTTATCTAGGAACCATTAGTATAAGTTTGATTTTAAGCTTATTAAGGAACCATTAGAATAAGTTTGTTATTAGTTTATTATTTTATTCTTCTTTAGCAAGAGTCTTATTTTTTAGAGGATAGAATTTAGAGTGGATTTTCATTCACTTCATTCATGATTTTCGCTATCACAACCCTAGAATAATATATAGCAGCATCAATACTATAGAGAGTAAAACAAAGAAAAAGTCTTAGCACTAGGTACAAGTGACAGCTGGTTTACCAGTGTCATTTTGAATTGGAATTTTTCCTGGCCAATTCTTAGAAGCTATTTATTCTTAACAGAATAACAGAAATTAATATCCCTAACCTTTCCAGGTCCTGACGTTTCCTTCTTTTTCTAGAGCCTTCCTGAAGTGTATCACCCTGAGCAAAAGAATAGAGCATCCATCCATAGTATATATGTTCCTCGGGCCCAATCTGATAGAGATTTGTTCCATGTCAACACGGAAATTAGCAGGTATTGTGTAAGAAAAGAACATACTGTTCATACCTTCATCCCCAATCTTTTTGTACCCATCTCTATCCTCCTGTTTTTCTCCTAAACTTCTTCGTTTTTTGAATTATCCGTAGTACAAGTTAATTTAATCACTACTCATCCTGCACTGGGGGAGTTTGTATGTAATGTGAAATCATGGGTTCATGTTTCGCTTCTCCTATGTCTCTGTTGCCTGAACTTTTCCCCATGGTGTATTAATGATACAATTCTTAAGGGTTCTTGAACTGTAATTTCCATTGAGTGAAAATCCTTTTGTAGTGTGTTGGAATTAACCACATAATTTGGTAGACCTTGGTGTGACTTTCTTACTGTTGGTTTACTACATATCATGACAGTACAGGAATATGATATTCTTGTCTGATATGGAGATACTAGGATTTTCTGTTGCTTCTATAACTAGATTGACTTGCATGTGGTAGACCTTTGATAAAAATGGGAGCAAATTATTCGGATGCTATTTTAAGGGTTCTAGTTTCTCAACTTTTTTTTTATCTTTTCCAGTTCTGAGTATTCTTGCACTTTCTGGCAACAGGTCTTTTCTTCCTTTTCCAGGAACCTACCAACAGTAATAAATATGTAAATTATGAGAGACTTGACGAATCTTTATGCGGATATTTCATTTGATTATGTGCAATGTTGTTTCCTTATAAACTTCTGTGCTACTAGTTTCCTTATAAACTTAAGTATGAGCTCTGTCAATTTTGCTTCAAACTGAGGGTTCTGGTTTAATAAAGATTCAAACCATGTAATTGACACATTTTACTATTTTCAGATCAATTATGTGTCGGCTCATGACAATGAAACTCTGTTTGACATTGCCAGTATGAAGGTATTATCAATATAGTCTTTTGATATCTTATCTTACTTTAGGTTGGTTAAATTTTCTGGTCCAATTTCTCTTCTTGTAGACTCCAAAGAAAATATCAGTGGAGGAGAGGTGCAGGATAAATCAATTGGCAACCAGTATGATAGCATTGTCACAGGTTTTTGACCTCTTCTAATATTATTCAAAGTTGCTTAAACCTAGTTTTCAACTAAATGCTATCAAATCCCCTCTTCATATTGATGTAGGGCAAGATATATTAGAGGAACTTATGGAGGGAAATAGAAGAACATGAGAAGAACACTGAAGAAATATCAAGAACAGTGAGAAAGCAAAATAGAGAATGGAGAGATTGAATCACAGGAACAAAGCAAAGGGATAGATAGAACAAGAGGGTTTGAGGTAGAAGAGGGAAGAATTGGAGATGAGTAGAAAGAACAATATGGTTAACTTAGATAATTCTAAGTCCAATTTAATCTATTATTGTATAAAATAAAAAACCTATATTAACACAGAATTATTTAAAAAATCTTCCACTTGCTTGTTCTTCTTCTGTATCACAAAAAGCTCACAAGCCATACAGATTAAATAAATGGTAGGGCCACTCTGTTACTCAGTGCTTTTGGTTATCAAGGGTTAATGTAGCATCTAGTTAATGAACATTACCTATGTTGATAATTCATTTTTGCAACACACAATTCTGGTTTTTTTCCCCTTATTTTAGTACTTTTGCTAGGGAATACCATTTTTCCATGCTGGTGATGAGATTCTACGCTCAAAATCTCTTGATCGTGATTCATACAATTCTGGTGACTGGTTCAACAGGTCTGCTCTCTTCCTTTTTACAATTTTTGTTTCGGTTTTTCTCATCTCAGTAGTTTCATCTGTAGCCTGAAAAATGATGTCCACAGTGATGATATGAAAGTTTAACTTGTGCATGTAATTTCTAATAGACAGGAGTATGTAATCTATAATTACATTCTTGTGACATCAATGTGTTTATGTCAGATTCATTGTTTTCTTTTCACAAAATTTCAGGTTAGACTTCTCCTATGATTCTAACAATTGGGGTGTTGGCCTCCCTCCAAAAGAGAAAAATGAAAAGAATTGGGCGCTGTAAGCACCAAGTTATTTCCCTTTTGGGTCAAATAGAGATAACTTGTTTCTGGCTTCCCACCATCACTCTTTCCTTCCAAGCAGTAATCTTGTTAGTTTTCTTTCCCTTCAGAATAAAACCAAGATTGGCAGATCCGTCCTTCAAGCCTCAAAAAAACCATATCTTAGCTACTTTGGAGAAGTTTAAGAACGTATTACGTATCCGGTATTCTTCACCACTGTTCCGTTTGAAAACAGCAAATGCCATACAGGTGAGAACAATGGCTATTTTACTGGGCTCTAAGTATGCTATAATTGAGATTTTATGTTGCCACTGGGAGATTGAAAAATTCTTCAACAAGGAAAACTGTTTGTTTTTGTTACAAAGCAAATGCAATTCTTCATGTATGATTTCAGTAATATAATATTCAAGGACAAGCTTAATTCAGAATCATTTTGTGACCTTTTGATTAGACTTAATTATGCATAACAAGATCTTAATTTGGAACCAATTTTTGTAATTACTATATTAATTTGTATTTTTAAGTTACTTAGGTTTGTTTATGCATTCTAAAATTTTAGTTTCCTCTCAAATAGATTTTAAATATTGTAGGAACTGAATCTTTTAGATTTCTCTTTTATAATTTTCCCTATTCCCCGAACTTAGTGTCTAGTAGCTACCAACAAAGGGGAGACAATAATGAATTAAGAATTTTTTTAATTATAGTTTGTTCCCTATTAAAGAGAGTGGGTAATGGGTAAAATTTTTTTTACCCACTTCGGTTATGGGACAGGTTTAGATTTATGTTTCTATTAGCAGTGTGAGTGTGGAGATTGGCGTACCAGCCCAATGCCTTTCTCTAGCATACAGGTTATTTTTCAGGAAAACAGCAAGCATTGTAGATCCTTTCCACTACACTTTCTGACACGTGCATCTCTAGTTCTATCTTTCCTGTTTACTGCATATAAGGGAAAAAAAGGAAAAATTTTCCTGCATGCAAAATGAACCTTATATTTTTTTCTGCGTTCTTTTTTGGTAGTGGTTGTATTTATTTTAACTTTTTAGTAGGAGCATGTGAATGGGCATTCGACATTGGTAGTATTCTCCATTTTTTTTTCAAATAAAAATATAACTATATTAACAGTCATCAAGGGAGTGTCAATCCGTACACAAATTATTTATAACTCTAGCAAAATTTGTGTAAGATTCCCAAAATCCTTCATAAAATGGAAAGGATGACCCAGAATAAAAAAACAAAAAGTTCAAAATCATCTATTCCTAATACTATCAAAATCCTCCTCATCCACAATTCCCTCATAAGCTTTTCTATTCCTCTCCTTCCAAATTACCCAAAAGATGGTAGGTGGAATGAGATTCACGTAATTCCTCCTTCCTCTGACACCCTTCCAAGCCCAAATTTCATCTCTGATCGAATCTGCCATTATCCAACTAATACCCAAACAACCCATACACCATTAACCAAAGTTTGTAGACAACTGGACACCATAGAAGAGCATGATTACAGGACTCCGCAGCCCTTCTAAGTAACAGCTATTCACCATAGTCATTCATATCCTTATCAATTTTATCCATAGTCAAAATGCATCCCCTACTGACCTCCCACACAAAATTTTAACCTTTTAAATTTGTCTAAAAGGAAAATTCAATCCATGAATTCCTGCTTAGTTAAGAACTTGTAGTAGGATCTAAATGAAAATACTCCTATAGAAGTAAGACTCCACAAAGGTTGATCATTGCTTCCATCCAAAGTAATGATAGACAAAGTAGCAAGGAGAACTTAGCAATCTCCCAATCGTTCAGATTTCTCATCACATTTACCTGCCTTAAATTCCCACCCCACCATCTCTGAATGGTAATATTCTCTCTCGAGGCTTCTCAAACATGTCCTGATTTATTCCTTTCTTTTCCTTTGGCTCATTCACAAAATTGGGCTAATAAATTCTGTAAATTTTAAAATGAGTGTGAATTAGCTAGACTGTGTAGGAGTTAATTTGATTCTCATGTTTTCCTCATGTGCCCTCATTATTTTTAGTACTTCTTTATTTAGCAAATACCTGTTCTTATGTCAAAATGACTATTAACTTATGATTTTCAAGTGTCAATGAGGTGAGATGATTTTTTGTTTCTCAGGAGCGAGTACATTTCCATAACACTGGTCTTTCAGAGGTCCCTGGCATCATTGTGATGAGCATTGAAGATGGTTATGATGGTGTTCCTGGGTTATCTCAACTTGATCCCATGTGAGTAACATGATCACTATATTCTTTCTATATGCTAAAATTATTTAATAGCATAATAACAGCGTTCTTACTCTGCTCCTGGCAGCTACTCTTACATTGTGGTCATCTTCAATGCACGCCCCTCTGAAGTCTCATTCTGTAGCCCTACACTGCAGGGAAGGAAACTTGAACTGCATCCTGTGCAGGTACTCATTTTCAATGTCGGTACAGTGTGATTAAGAAATAAAGATAGTTCATGGTTCATTATATAAAGTAGCAATTCGATTAATTAACCGAAATAATTACGACATTCTATAATTTTTTAACATAGCACAGCAGAATAGAAAATATAGAAGGTCAAAAAAGGAGAACAAATCCAATCCAATCACCAGGATTGGCATTTCACAATTACATGGACTGGAAAAGCTACAAATTATATGAAGTAATTAATTTGGACATTGTCGTATGAACTTTAGTTTTTTGATAATCAGTAACTTATTACTATTGTTTCACAAGTTATCAAGGCTAGAGGTCAATTAATTTTTTTTTTTTGAAATATGCTAGAAGTCAATGATTTTGCTACATTTATATTTAAATTAAATGTAAATTTCATATGAAGCATGGTTAATTTGTGCTTTGTCTATGTGTAGCCTAGTATTAGATTGTCTTTTTGAAGATTAAAGAAAAAGGAAAGAGGAATACAATGGTACAGCCATATTCAAGGGATTAACAAAAAGTGAGACTAAAAAATCTTTATGTTTCCCAAATTCTCCCCATCTTTACAGGATATGATTGAAGAGATTTGAGAAGAAGATGATTCTTATTGATTGGAACATCTAAAATGTGAGATACAGTAATTCAAAATAAGGATATATACTTAAAGTTTTGAATTACAATTTAAATGAAACACATTTTAAAATATGAAGATAAGATAAGAGTGAAGAGGTTATGTGAATATCATGCAATATCTCTGTAGAAGTCTCAAACAAGATTGGTTCTAAGAAGATTTACTTCTTCTAGAAGTCCTAAACAAGATTCATTTAGGAAAATTTACTTCCTAGAATGTAGGAACCAAAAATCTAGGATCTTGATTTATACTTGGATCCCATATTTTCTGGTGTAAATCTTCTTCTTTCCTAGGAGACTCAATAGATTAGGATTCTCTCCTAAATTGTAAGTCAGTAACTCTTGTAGCGGAGGAGATGGCAGTCACGATCTATGATCACAGCAACCAGTTCATTAAAGTCCAGTCTGATGCCATTTAGAATATGAAGATTAACATCATTAGCAGTGACAGATGTGTCAATGAGTGCATGTTCATATACCGGGGCTTTTATTTATTCGCGTACTCCAGGACAGATAAACTTCGCTGGGGTAAAGTTATTTTCTCCTTAAGGTGCAGGACCCATGAATGGAATTTCTTAGCAATGAGTTTCTTGAGCTTAGTTCAGGCGTCTCAAGAGGTTTCAAATGACGCAATTTGAAAGATGGCAATATTTGAAATATATACCCAAATAGCATGAAGAATTAGGAATCCAGGCTGCTAGAATATACGAGCAGAGTTTCATCTGGTGTGGGTGGCAGTGAATGTGGATAGCAGGCATGGGATGGCACTCATGACATTATCTTACAGATTATACAATACAACAAGGCCTGAAATTGTGTGCTATAGGGGGTAATGGAGGAGGAAAATTTTAACGAGATTTGAGTGAAGAAGTTGAATTGGAGGCTATGGGATTTATGCTCTAATACCATTGATTAAATTTCTTTACATATGTTTAAGTGAAGTAAAACAAGATAAGAACATACATTTGAAGTTTCTGAATTATAATTTGAATGAGACATATTTGAAAATACAGATGTAAGATAAGAGTGAGAATATTATGTGAAGATTATGCAATATCCCTAACAATGATGTCCAACCAAGTGAAAAAACTTCAATTATAGATAACATAGAGTAAGTTTTTTAAGAATCCTCATTTCTCTCTTTAAATGGTCCATCAAATAGACACAGGAATAAAATTAAGAGTTGCTTTCTCAATTTACAAGCTCTGAAGGCCGACCAAGCCCCAAGCTTATCCACAATTTAGGAGGCCAAGTGCCGAGTCCACAGCCTTCTGGCTTCCAAACACCATAGAAGGAGATGGTTGGGGATTTGTACTTCCTGAGATACAAATGAAAGCCGTTTTCAATAATCTGTAAAATAATTCAGTAATATTGATGGGATATTTTACCTCGATTTCAACTTATTTATCTATGTGACCAAACTCTAACTCCATCTCTTATCAGTTTTAATTTCACTCTACCTGGATCATTTAAAGAACCTAATGATTCGCAACACCGAAAAGTTGGAATCATGTGAAGTAGGTTTGAAGCTCATTTCACTTATATTTCTATCTTCCTAAAAGTACTATCAGTTCTGAGGATCCGAAGTTTTAGAAGAATTTACCAATTACAATTTCCAAAATTTTCCTGAATAATTTATTTGTTATAGCATTTAAATATCATCATTGTGCAGGTGACGTCGACTGATAAAATTGTCAAGATGTCATCATACGAAGCATCCTCTGGGTCCTTCAAGGTGCCTCCAAGGACAACATCAGTGTTTGTTGAACCCAGGAAAATTTGAGCAGTCTGCTGCTGAGCATAATGGTTGATTGATCACTTCATTACTCGTTGGCTATTTTGCACACACGAAATGAAATGCATTCTAAATCGAGAGGTATGCTGTTTCTTGTCTGTTGAGAAAATAAGTGAATAAATTATTTGTATTTCAAAACATTCAAAAGAAACCCTGACTAAAAGATAATTTTGTGAAAATCAGCTTCTGAATTCAAGTTGTTGATATCCTTTACATGTATGCGAATAATTAAATGTAATGATTATCCTGTAATAAACTGTTTTTCAATTACTTTTTAAACGGGATTCTCAGTCACTTAAAAACTATAATTTGGCCTCTCCTTTTGTTTGCCTAGAGAAAGAAAATATTAGCTTAATTCAGTTTGGAAACTCTTGATAGTGAAATGTTATGAATTACAGAGATTAATGTAACTCAATTATGATGATATACATATATACATATATATATATTGATTCTTATAGTTGATCTAAGACCTAATTGGTGTATCATAATTCAATTGAAATTCTCAGATCTTCTTCTGGGATAAAATGAAACTCCTCAGTTTTGGACCAGAAAAAGGTAAACCTACTTGAAGTTGTTTAGTATGTCATGAGACTGCCGGTCCGTGTATCATACATGTAATCTATGTAGCCAAAGAATTTGTCTGACAGAAAAACATATAAAATAGTGTTTTGAAGAGTGTGTATAAAATTGTCTTCTGAAGTGAGGGGAGCTGTGTATGTATAGATTTGATTTGGGTGTGCTGCTTATAAGCATTTCACAAAAGCACTTATAAATAATTACTTTTAAAACGCCACAGAAATTATTACTTTTCTAAACACTTAGTGATGGAATGCATTAAGAGTTTTTGTCTCAAGTAACTATTTTTCTAGGTTCCACTTATAATCCTGGTGGAAATTTTCTTTTGGGTTTGACCAAAAATAGTACTGCATCAAACCCACAAGAAAATGATTCAAACCTTTAATTTTTTTTTTAAAAGAGAAATGGGTATTACATGTATATGTACACACATAAACATATTGTAAGGAATCGAGAAAATGTTTAGACTTGATTTAGAGGGATGATGCCATTGATGGTGCTATTATATATATACTTATATATATACATATATATTGTCACATGAGATAGACACCACAAACTAACACTATATGTTTGATGGGTAATTTATTAAAGACATTTTCAAGGAGAAACAAAAATCTCTCTTGAGATGCAAATGGCAAGTGACTATTTTCCCTATTAAATTAACTATTGGATTGGGGCATGAACCAGTGGATATATATCTATATAGATATATATATATATATATATATGTATGCATATAATTCTTCAACTGAATAATTAATGAATTTGTTCATCTCTCTGATAAGTTATCTTTTGTAATTTATTTGGTGTTAGACATCCATCATTGTGTAGCCTTAGCAAGAATTAGACATGTTTGATTATATATATATATATATATACAGCATTTAATATTATTTCACAAACATTTTATTGTCAATGTGCTACATGAGTGAAGATGGTATATAATTCTTGTAGTCATATATTTATTTTCCAAAAAAAATAATAATAATTCTTTAACACCTAATTTTAGTTCCTTAATAGATGTTTAAATTAAGGTTAAACATGTCTAAAAATATAAATTACAAACATATAAGGGAATGAAACTACAAATATAAAATAATACATATTACTACTTATAAATATTTTGATCCAAAAAGAGATTTGTAAATATATCTATACATATACATATATATATATACACATATATACAATAAAGATAGTGTTGTGGTAAAGATAAGAGAAGAGGAAAGAAGCCATGAATATGAATATAAAAAATAAAAAGAGGGATGGGATGCGTACATATTGTTATTCGTATCTTACAAAAGATTGAATTGGTGGGTGTTATAAGTTAATACAAAAATAAACATGAATACGTACATATATATAAACACACACACACACACACACACATATATATATATATAAAATAAAGATAGTGTTGTATATCATCTTACAAAAGATTGAATTTGTGGGTGTTATAAGTTTCAAGCCCTTAAACGTGCCGCACACAACCTACCAATCATTAGCACATCATTTTACCCCCTTTCACGTCAAGACATTTCCTTCTTTTCCTTTTCTTTTTTCTTTTCTTTCTTTTTTTTATTTAAAGATGTCGATTGTATATATATATATATATATATATATATATGTATGTATATATAGTAACGTATATAACTCAATCAAATTACAAACCGTTTATTCAAACTAAGCATATATATAATCTCATATTAAACCAATATTTCTTCCTCTATATTTCTATAGCAATTTCATCCCCATGGCTTCGAGAGGATATTAATCAAAATAATTAGGTACATGAAATTGTACAAACCAATTTAACCATTTCAATATCGGGATAATCTTAAATTTTTATTCAAAATTCAATTTCTTGTCACGAGAACATTAGTAAAATCTTTATATCATAATTTTATTATTTAGTACGTAAATTTGAATTAAACGTATATAATATAATTAGGTACATGAAATTGTGCAAACCAATTTAACCATTTCAAGATTTTTTTCACAAATTATATATACATATCGGAATAACTTTAAATTTTTATTCAAAATTCAATTTTTTATTACGAGAATACTAGTAAAATTTTTAATCATAATTTTATTATTTAGTACATAAATTTAAATTAAAAGTATATAATATAATTAGGTACATGAAATTGTGCAAACCAATTTAACAATTTCAAAAATTTTTTCACAAATTATATATACATATGGAGATAACTTTAAATTTTTATTCAAAACTCAATTTCTTGTCACGAGAATACTAGTAAAATCTTTACATCATAATTTTATTATTTAGTACGTAAATTTGAATTAAAAGTATATAATATAATTAGGTACATGAAATTGTGCAAACCAATTTAACCATTTCAGAGATTTTTTCACAAATTATATATACATATTGGGATAATCCTAAATTTTTATTCATAACTCAATTTTTTGTCACGAGAATTCTAATAAAACTTTTACGTCATAATTTGTCACGAGAATTCTAATAAAACTTTTACGTGATAATTTTATCATTTAGTTACGTAAATTTGAATTAAAAGTATATAATATTAAATTTAAACAGAATACAATTTTTGATGTTTATATATATAAAATAGATGAATTTTTACTCCTTTTTTTATTAAAATATTTGGATAATTGACCTTTAATTATATTTTATTTCGAAATATTCTGATAAATAATTAAAATTATATATATATATATATGTGTATATTTCAAATACTACAACCACAAAGACATTTTCCCCTAACACAATTCTTAGAGTGACAAGAGGAAGCGCATTTCTTCTCGCAATCCTTGTCGATGGTGCAAGCTGAATTCAGAGGCAGGAAGCATCCACAAAAACGATTAAGGCAGATAGCCCTATGGCTTCCACACTGGAGGCTCTTGCACCCATTGTTTTTCTCACATCTTATTCTTTTAAAACCTTCCACTCTCACCAATGATATGCCTGTCCAGATCAAAGACATACATATATATATATATATATTAATCACATATTATAATTGTATACCACTTACTCAAAACTGTAAATTTCATATATTATTTGTATTAGAGTGAAATTAAAGTATCTTCGAGTTAGTCTTTTAAGAACCCATTATGCACGTACCAATCCAGTGTGTTTCTAAACAAAATGTATATCAAACATGAATGTGTATATACATATATAGATATGGAATATATATATATATATATAGAGAGAGAGAGAGAGAGAGAGAGAGAGAGAAAGGAAACTAACATGATGCTGCAAATAGAAGGATGAGTAGTAATGTTGACTTGAGAGTAGGTCCTTCCATTTTCTTCCTGTTGTATTGGTGAAGGCTGAAGGATTTTCTTAAGGAAATGATTTTACTTTGTTGAGTACTTGAGTTAATCCCTCTATTTATAGGGGTTTAGAATTTCCTGGCATGCCAAGATATATATATATATATATATATATACACGTGTATACATATATATGATCATTTATGAGAGGATTATGTTGTAATCTCAACAAATTTTTTTCTTAAAAATAATAATATTTCTTGCCTGTTTGATATATGGCAATCATATATAACTATATATATATGTATATATATATATATATACATATATATGGACATGCCCCCAAAATCCTTCTGATATTGTTTCTCCATTACTCAACAATTTCCAAGAAGATTATGTTATAATCTCATCCATTGTTTCTTAAAAATAATGATATCTCTAATAATTATCTTGAAAGAAATCAGATTTCTCGCCTGTTTCACATTATGACAATCATATATATGTATATGTATATATATATATATGTAAATACTTAAAAATTATGTTAAAAATAAGCAGATTTCTTGCTTATTTGACATTATGACAATCATATATGTATATGCTTTCAAAATCCTTCTGATATTATTTCTTCATTAGTTAAAAATAGTGAATTTAAAGTGTATTATTGTAATAATTTAAATACGCCTTAATCATTCCTCCTTGTTGACGACTGAAACCTGCCTATAATATAATTACTTCTATTACATATTTAAAAAGTAAGCATGTACATTATAAAACCAAGCTGCATATAATACATATTACTAGTTATATCTTGTGCGTGGATATTTTGATATACATATATATATATATATATATATATATATATATAGAGTAAAGATAGTGTTGTGGGTAAAGATAAGAAAAGAAGAACGAAGCCATGAATACGAACAAGAAAAATAAAAAGAGGGAGGGAGGGAGGGGATGCGTGAGTACATATTGTTAATATAAAAATAAACATGAACCCATACATATACACACACACACACACAAATATATATATATATATAAACATATACAACTATATGTTTTCCTTTAATACTATACTTCTATAGCTTAGATTGTGAGAGGATATCAACCAATATAATTTCACATGAAAATTGTGGAAACTAACATATAAAATTTCACAGATTTTTCCACACATACACGATGATATAACTATAAATCTCCATT